TGTGGATAAGCAGACATACGCGCACGGACGATGGGAGTTCTTGATTATTATTATTGTTGTTGTTGTTGTTATTTATTCCTGTTTCGTGCTTATGCTGCTGGCAGTCAACAGCACTATATTGATGTCTATTTAATCAGTATACAATCTTGTTCCATCCAATGGAAGACAACAAGCGCAGCGGAAGGTGAGGTATCCGACGATAACTATTCGAGGCTACGTAGTTAACTCACGTAGTGTTAACTCAACGAACCCCCGTTCAATGTTCACTCATCACAAAATGTATCACGGGCTGTTAGTCACTCGCAGCTGCAGCATGCTTAACATGCAGTCAGTATCTGACCGTAATAAGCCGAGGGTGATATAGAGCCCAGCCCCAGCAGGGTTGGGGGAAGGATTTGGTCGAGCACGGGAAGGAAAGACAAAAGTCCGCCCAGACACCTGTTACCGCTTTGGGCAATGAGCGTCGCCCTGTTTTCCATCGGACGGTGTACACGATAGGAGTGTAGCGAGGGCAGAGAGAAACTCGAGCTATTGGCCCGTCTGTCTCCACAGGCTGTCAACCACATGGATTGGCTCTTGCAGAGAGAGACACGGGATACGAACCCTGCCGTCCGTCAAGGCTGGGCGGGGTGGGTGGTGTGGTTGAATGGTGGTTTCTTTGGGGAGGGTTTGTTCGGAGAATGTCATACGACTCACTGTGTCCTGGGATTTGAGCTTTGTTCAAAAGGGTAGGAGTTTACGCAGTATCTCGACTAGCTTCTTGTCTGTAAGTCTTGGGTTTCACACGCTTGATTTGAATCCCTGGCGGTTCGTCGGGTGACGTGGCATACGCTCAGTGATTGACCGCTGGGTGATCGGATAGTCTAAATCGATGGATCCATGGATCCCGGCGATACTCCTGAGCAACTGCCGACAGCTACTTCTTGCTTTGTTTCTATAACACACATCCCTACTTCATCTTTTGATAAGTGCACAGAATGTACTATTGCCAGCGTTAGTGGTGTAACGGTAACATTCAACCCTTCCATGATTCACAGATCGTGAGGTTGGGCCCTGGGTTCGACTCCCAGCTAACGCATAAAAAATTTCCTTTTTTTTTTTTTTTTTTATTTTTGTTTCTTTCATCGCAAACGCCGATATGTGCCTAATATGCGTGATGAATTAGTCTGGGATGCAACCAGCTGCACAACATGCACGGTTGGCCGACTGGTTCGTGGGGTGCGGGTAAGCTGGACGATCGTCGTCCAACCAAGGAACCAGCAGCATCCCTTGCTGGTCTCTTTCCTCATTCGACTTTTTTGTTGCGCTCCGTAGGTGAGTGGCACGAGTTGTCACCTGCACTTCTTTTGATAATGGGGTTTGTCAGCCATTTGTCCTTGATATTGCGCTCAGGGGCATAGAGACTGATTTAACGGGTCAGAAGGTTATTACTATGAACTACTGTCAACTATTCGCGCTTTAGAAGAGCTCAATTTACTCATGTGATCCCGAGCACATAACAATAGAAATCAACATGTCATTGCCGTTGTACTATAAAGGCTCTGCAGGGCTAGCGGGTTTAAATTAGGCGTACCGTTCTGGAACGACGCCAATGCCGGCCATTGAATACAGTATTACTACTGGTGGATGAGATAGTAGAGCCGGTAGAATCTCCGACTTCTTTGTGCAATACGTTGCATGTTATTGACGCGACAAGTCAGGCAACACCCTTGGCGAGAAATGTGCCGGAAGCTGTACTGCTCTTACCTGATGAGCGGCGTGTTCACACAGATGAGGACGCGCCTTTGACTTCGGGGCAATGCCTTGATGGAGCATCCAGGCTGTGCACAATTATACCTCAGTGAATTATTGAAATGGGGAGAATCCTCTGAAGAGGTCCAATCAGCTGATGACGTGATGCTGTGGTTTTAATTCCAGCCCGCAAACGAAGGTATATCAACCGATGTTAAGGTCATGGCCCATCACGATCAGTGGTTCGGGCCGTTTCCCGTCATTGACAAAGAGACTGCCGGTGAAGTGCCAGAAAACACCTGTTGCTGGCCATCATGTCTCTTATATGGGCTGGGAGTGCAAACAAAGAGCTGCGATGCAGCTTAATACTTAGAGGTAATGAAGCTCGAAAGAGATGAACTGAGAGCAAGGGTGCCATTGCATGACCTCGAGCGGCCGAGGAGGACCATGACTTAACGTGTGACTGAATACCCAGCCAGCACAATGCCAAATTAGGCAAGAGCGATCCCTGGTAGTTTGCTGAGCTACTTTGTATGTGGCCATGTTAACCTCACATAGACTCTTTTTGCGCTTATTTCTCACGAAGTAACGGGGAAAATCGGTTCGGCCTTCGGGCGGGGAGGGTTCGGAGGTGCTTTGTGGCTAGCACGAAAGTACTAAACCAGTGGTCCATCCATCTCCGCCAAATCAAGATTCATTTGACCATATGCGCCTGGTAAAAATTAGCACGAAGAATTCTTAGCGCGCGGAAATAAACCGGCACCGGTGGCGATTGCTGAAAAACTAGACAACGTCATGACTGACGTGGGATTGTTCTTTTCTTCGATCGGAAAACATTTCCAGTCGTTCAGCATGACTTGTGGATGCATCGTGAACCATGTGCGATCGTCTATTTCCTGGCCTGTTGACGTTTGAAAACCCGGAAACCGTCGATAGCATATAGAGGCGAATTGGAAAATCGAGGCCCCAATGATGACATTGTCATGCCACTGTTGCAGGGTAACAGCACGAGTAGTCTTCTAGGCCGATCACAGACAGGGTGGTAATGCGGTTACTCAAAACGTAGACTCGCAGCCATAACGGTGAAGGATTGTAGAGCATGGGACGAGCCGACGGAAGTGGAACCCAGCTGCTAAGCCTGAAGAATCGACGGTGACATGGCGAAACCGACGGACGGCACGAAGAAGGTCTCAAGGCAGGCTCATTGGCGAGAATCCGGTTCTAGTGGAGTGGAGGCATGGAGGCAACTCCACAGCCGCTGGAGGGTCTGAGGGGCCAGGTGGACAACAGGGTTTTTCTATTATTCAAGAAGAAGAGAAATGGAAAATCATGGTCAAGAGGGAGAATTATTGATGATCCAGGGGCGAGGAATGGATCACCGACGCAGGGTGGTTAGAAAAGCAAGGCATACGAAGGCAGCCGAGGGGGTTGGAGCTGGATAGTTATATCTAATAGTTTTCTACTAGTTCCCCCATAAGAGAAGAGTGATGTGCGCGATCCATCGAATTTGCTGCCCGCCACTCTTGCCTCCATTCGGCCGACGTGAATGGACTCCCGATCGTGGTAGCAGCGACGGATGGCCGTGCGGTCGACTAAACCCGATGAAGGGATTGTAGAAGCTGCGTGGAGAGCTGGCACTGGCAGGGAACAAGTACTGTTGCAGTACTTGTGTATGCACGATGCAGAAGCACCAGGAGAAACTTGCCTCCGAGAGACGACTTGCCCTTTCAAGATTCTTCAGGAATTGACGTGGTTCTTTAGCCCGAGGGTCATGGCACATGGCAAGAAAATAGACTCTGGGCAAAAGCACTGGGTCCGCTGAAACTATAATGGCGATCCGCTGCAGGGGAGTGTGCAGAACAGTCGACCATTGTCGATCCAGTCCAGGTGTAGTAGTGATGATGATCGATGCCGTCTTTGATCTGCTTTTTTTCTTCTCTGTGCGGGACTTTTACCCAATTTGTTATGGGGGGGAGGAGCCATCGAGGTCGGCTACTCATTAGTGCGGATAGCCATGTGTTTTGTTTCTCCTTTTCTTCACACTGCTTCGGGGAGGTTTGAGAGACTCGTGAGATGCATGCATGGGGTAGAATCAACTGCAATGTGTTCCTATATATGTATTAATAAATAGAGGATGAGAAATCGAGATTATCAAACAATAAGCCCATAAGCCATGTAGATACTAATATTCCATAAATTCATGGTGCAAAGAATGCCCCGTACAAAGTATAGATGCAGGCGGAAAACCATCCGGCTGCCCCCGATAGGCGGACCAGGTCAAGTTAGTGGGAAAAGGGATAGTCAGTCCTGCTCCAACCGAACGGACCAACAGTATCTGCTTGTTCTGCTGCATCCCGTAAGCGACCGGCCAGTCAACCAAAGGACCCTCCCTGAACGGGGTCAACCGATGAGTGAAGCCCGAGAGATAGTCCTCTCGGGCACTACTGTACACACGACTAGTACTACTACTAAGTACTCCGTACTAGTACTACTACATGCCCTGGACCCCGGTGGACGAATGGTTGGGGGTTAAAACGGTCATCGCGCATGGATTTTTTGTCCAGCTTGACCTCGGGCCCTGTTCATCGCTTCTTTAATCTAAAGGTGTTGGCTGCAGGCACGCCCTTTTTTTGTTTTTTTTGGTTCTTTTTTTTTAACCTACCATTTATTTCTTTCACCACCTATTTTCATCCATTGAAATATCATTCTTGTCTTTCTCCTCCCTCGAATGTTCTGCTCCCTTCCCAGTATCTCACCACTGCATATCCCACCACTTACGAGTCAAGTCAGACCTTAAATCCCTACTACTTACTGTACTGGGTAAAGGACTCCTTTCACCCCCCAGGTCACAAATTGGGTCCCCGCGGTGCTAATCTCGATCTGATCGTGCGGTGGGAATAGAATAGTCTGCCCGGTACTTCTTCCTTGTTTTCTCGTTGCTTCTACTACTAGTCAGTCTAGCCCTGGGGGGCGCAAAAAAAAAAAAAAGGAACTTCCATCGGGCCCCCTCTTCTCCCCTTTTTGTTGTGTTCTGGAAACTCGCATTGGTTTCGTTGTTCGACCAATATTATTTTTATTTTAAGAAGAGAGAGGGTGGTGATTGATTTCTGGGGATTGAAGCTAGTGGGGGGATCCGATCACCGTTGCTTATTATTACGATATCATTAGCGACTCGACTCTCTTAACTTTTTTCCCATCCCTTCCCGCATCGCCCGCCCGTCATCGCCTCTGCTCACTCACCATGTGTTCCGACCGCGCTCCTCCCCCGGACTCCAGCGTCATTGAACCTGATGTGCGTATCCCCCTTCCATCATCACAATCAACCTTCAATTTGACTCTTGTCTCTCCTCTCTGCTCTTTAAACTTTGTTTTCCTCTTTCCCGCTAATCTCTCTCACCCCCCGCACCACTACAGAACTTCAGCGACAATGACTCCACCTATCCCGGCTCGTAAGTTCCTACCCGCGACCTACCCGACGTCTGGTTCCAACGGTTCGCGCTGACCGCAATCCAGGCTGGGCGATGCCAGCTACACCACCAGCATCACGTCCAGTGCGATGAACTATGCGTAGGTTCTCCCTGTCCCGTCACCCTTGCGACCACTAACCAATTCAGATATGAGGTATAGGAATCCGTCTCGCATCCACCCTCCGAGCCTTGGCTAAGTGTCGCAGAACGGTCGCAGATACCATTCCTATCACGAGGGAGAATACGTCCTGGTATGCCCATTCGATCGACCGTGTCCCCATCGCCCCTACTGATCTCACAGCCCAATGATGAACAAGAACAAGATCGTCTCGACCTGGTTAGTGGCGCAGCGCATTCTGAGACCGACGGGCGAGTCCAGGGTTGACCGGAACAGAGCCACCACATCTATCGCATGCTCTTCAAGGGAGAGCTGAACCGAGCGCCGATTAAGAATCCCGCGCGCGTACTAGACATTGGAACTGGCACGGGAATCTGGGCGATTGACTATGCCGAGTAAGCGGGGAGATGTGATCCCTCCGATCATGGATAATAACGCTAATGCGGGCTGGCAGCGAGCATCCCGAGGCAGAAGTGATCGGTACGATGAGCGACGCGACCACGGATGATGGATCACTGACAGGATGACGCAGGAAACGATCTCAGCCCCATTCAACCGTCCTGGTAGGTGTTGCCCGCTGCTGCTGTGGAGGTCCCCCCTCACTGACCGTGCAGGATTCCGCCGAATTGCCGATTCGAAGTCGATGATTTTGAGCAACCATGGTCCTACAGCAAGCCGTTCGATTATATTCACGGTCGGGAGTTGGAGGGCTGCGTTCGCGATGTCGACAACCTCTTTCGGCAAGCACTCGAGAATCTGAAGCCCGGGGGATGGATGGAAATCGCCTCGATGGAGGTCAACACATACTCGGATGACGATACACATTTGCGGGCCAAGAATCTACTGGAGGGTATAGTGTATATGCATGACTGCGCTCGGGAGTATGGAAAGGACATGGCCAGTGTGCACACCTGGAAGGAAAAGATGGAAAAGGCCGGTTTTGTCAATGTCCGGGAAGAGATCTTCAAGGTAATATTCTCGACGCATTGTCCCTTGTATTCATTCTGACGGTCGCAGCTCCCCCAAAGCCCCTGGCCCAAGGACCCCAAGATGAAAGATCTCGGTCGCTATCACCAAGTCAACATGTTCGAGGCGCTTGGCCCATACTGCTACGCGCTGTTCACGCGCGTGATGGGTTGGGAACGAACGGAGATCGAAGTGTTTGTGGCAGGCATGAAACAGGAGTTGCGCGACTTGAATAACCACTTGTACACGAAAGTGCACATCGTGTATGGACAAAAGCCGGAATGACATAGCGTGTGAGAATCTCTGTTTTGTGTCTGGTGTCGGCTGTTTTGGATATCGGGGCTTTTCTCCTTGATCATGTGATATGAGCCCATTCATTAAGCGTCTTTCCACGTCATGTCCAGTACTTATTATCATAATGCTTGTTGAATACGATGTAGGGGAACCTACAATGACCTATACTCTCTGCTTGATTGTTCAGGAAACATCACGATGATGATTATACCCTATCTGATTGAACAAGTTATTTTTAGATATATTTATAAGTACTACTAAGTAGTAGGGCAATGTAGCACACATTGATACTAGTTATACCACCCTTCCTATTCAGCGTTGAATATCACTCTATCTTCTTTGTCTTCATTCTTTCATTTCCATTTTCTCTCCCATCAAGTAGTACATCTGACTTGCTGAATGCGTCAAGTAAAGCTTGGCATCAAAAATAAATATAAATATAAGAACAGACGCAGAATTAACCCTTCTTTTTTACCAGCCCACTATTAGAACAAAGCATGTCGTGAAAACCACGATATCAAGATATAATACATCCCTGCCTAATGCCGTCATCATCATCATCACCGTCTCTCCCTCTGTTTCCGAATTCGCATCAAAGCAAACACCCTACGCAACAACCCATCGACAAACGTTGACCGATTCAGAATCTTTTTTGCCAGTCTCACGCAAATCCCAACCAAGAGAGGAACCGATGCAACCAGGATCAATCGTCGATACATCTGACTGACTTGCGAGCTCGCAGTGTGCAACATCTTTCTCGCCGACACAGTTTCCCGGTGCTCTTCACCCAGCGTGCTCTCGAAGCTCTGATACGCTTTCGAGTAGAGCTTTTTGGCTTCCCTTAAGTGACCTTTTTTGGTCTGTAGTCTGGCCATTTGGACTATGGCTCGTGCGGTGAAGAGATGATCCCATCCGAAGGTTGACTGTAAGCCAATTAAGGTGGGGGTTATTATGGTCTCGGCCTGGGTTATGCTGGTCGCGCTGTCTTCGTCTAATAGGAGGGCCACGAAGTGGCATTGCGCTTGGAGTGTTGAGGGGTGGTTTGGGCCGACGTTTGCTTTTAGAGAGTGTGTTATTTCAATGTATTTTGCGTTCGCTTGGCTTAGGTCGCCGGCAGTGCGGAGACAGTTGGCGAGATTGAGGGATGTCTCTAGGGTAGACGTGTGGTTTGCACCGAATATCTTTCCTCGTTTGTCGAGGGCATATTGGAGTTGTTTTTTCGCCTCGTGAATTGCACCTCGCTCCAAGGATAATACACCAAGATTGTGAGTGACTTCGGCGATGAACGGATGGTCTGGATCGAGGAGCTCCTGGGCTTGAACTTGACTTTGTTTAAGGATCTCCTCTGCTTCGTCAAATCTGCCCAGACCAATCCATACCATTCCTCGGTTGATTTGTGTCGCGAGAATGTGCTGGCGGTGACCTATCTTCTGCCATCCAGTTAAGGACTGTTCCATCAGCTCGTCTGCCTCTTTGAACCGGCCTTGACAATATCGTAGGAAACCCAGATTGTCAATCGCTCCCAGGGTAGAAGGATGATCGGAGCCGAACAACTCTTCCTTATTTTTCTTGCATTGAACGAGCATATTCTCCGACGCTTGAAAGTTCCCCTGGTCGAAGTAGAGCAGTCCGAGGTTGTTCTCAACTTTCAGCGTAGTCGGATGGCTCTCACCCACTGTGGCTTTGTAGCCATCAAGGGCTCCTCTATACATCTGTCCAGCCTCGTCTCTCTTATCTTGTAACTTATAGATATTGCCGAGATTGACCATGACAGATAACCTGGAGGTGTGAGTGGGGACTAAAACCGCCTCATAGCCAGCCATGGCCTGAAGATAGTTGTTCTCGGCTTCCCGAAACATTCCTTGCGAATAGTACAAGTTACCCAGGTTGTTGAGTAGCCGTAAGGTGCTTGTATGATTAGAACTAAGCGTCCTGTTTGCTAGCTCCAGAGCTTCTTTGTACTCTCTCTCAGCATCATCAGTCCTGCCCTGTGAGACATACAGACGTGCTATATTGTCCTTGGTAGTTATGATCGAAGGGTGCTCTGCGCCGAGCACGCGCTTCCTGTGGGATAAAGCTTCGAAGAGATGTTTCTTGGCTTCGTCAAATTTGCCCTGTTTGGTATAGAGAAGACCCAGATTCTCCATGGCATTGAATACAGAGGGGTGGTTGTCTCCAAGGATTGCCTCGAGTTCCTTCACAACTTGAGTGTGGTACGCTGCGGCGTCTACAAAACGCCCCTGCTTCAAGTAGATGAGGCCGATATTGTTGGTGATATTCATCATCGCGGTTATGAGACGGTGCTTTCGGTAACCTTGGTAAGCTCGCTGACAATAGTCCATAGCATCGTTCAGTTCTCCTAAGCCTAGATAGACTGTTCCTAGTTTATCCATCGTGCTCAGAGTTGATGGATGACTTTGGCCCAGCATGCTTGTCCTTCCACTTAGCACTCTTTCATACATCTTCTTTGCCTTTTCCAGCATTCCTTGGCTCGAGTATAGTTCGGCGAGATGTTGAGTGGTATCCAATGTGGACGGATCTTCTGGTCCTACTCTGTTTTGTTTGTCTGCCAGCACCTTTTCGTGGATCTCTTCCGCCTCCTTGTATTTGGACTGGTTTCGATAAACGAGCCCCAGGCTATCAAGGACTACAAGGAGCTCTCGGCTTAGAGGGTCCAGCTTCCGATACCAGTCGTGTGCTGTTTTATACATGACCTCTGCTTCCTGCAGCTTGCCGTATTGCAAGAACAAGTCTCCAAGTCTTCTGCTGGAATCTGCTAACCCGAGACATGGCTGCATAGCCAGATCACCTTGCGACAGTTGGTATATACGGTCAGCATGGGGTATAATACGCTTCTGCCATTTCCAAGCTTCTGAATCATCTTTTTCAGGAACGCAGAGACCAATCGAACCCAAAGCAATAGATACCAGCTCGTTTTTGTCGTACTGAGCGAGATATCCTTGACACCAGTTCTGCACCACCGGATGCATGAAGTAACTATTTTGGGATGGCCTTCTGTCCAGTAAGCCAAGGCGAAGAAGATAACCCATTACTTGATAAAATTCGTCATTGCTGGAGGCAACGCTGGTATACCACGATGGCGGATTCCCAACTCGAAGGCCTGTTTTGATGAGTTCGGGCCAAATGTCCCGTTGGTCAAAACAGGAAAGCAAAAGCAGCATTTTGAAGACGATTGGACGACTCTTCTTGATCTCCTCAAAAGGAAGCATCCATGCTGTGCTTATGTTACGGCTGAAAGGTAGGTCACATTCTGGGATCTGTGATTCATGTCTGTGCCACAGGCTTGAGTATTGCTGCAAGCATTCTGACACGGTGGCACCTGTCTCACTTATAAAAGATCCTGCTAAGGTGATAGCTAGGGGGTGTCCGTCTAATTGATCGAGGAGGTCATAAACATCTGCAGTTGAAAAGTTAGCCTCCCCCTTTGCCACCGAACAATTCACGATACCCTACCTGATGGTATATTAGCGCTAATTGTAAGGCCCGTTTTGAGTGTTAGGAGCTTCAGTGAATCATCAAAGTTAAGCGTTGAAAGGCGATATGGGTGCCCATATTCTTGAGTATTAGCAAACTGTGTCGTGAGAATAATCGAACCCTGGTCTGACGTAGGGAAGAACTTCTGGACCTCGGTTGAGTCAAGAGCCATTCCGTCAAACACCAGAAGCCACTTTGTATTTTCCCTCAGGCTGAGCCATGAAATGACATCCATGGCCTTTCCTTCCAATTCCTCGTCGTGGGTCGGGTGATCACTCGTGAGGGCGTCCGTAGATTGCGGTAAATGTACCGAAGCCAACGACTGTACTATGCTCTCGCGAGTGTGTGCGTTGACCCAAAATACTGCAGTGAAATCCTCCTTGTGACATTGAATGAATCGAAGAGCTAACTGGGTCTTGCCGATACCACTCAATCCGTGAAGGGTCACAATCTTTTGCGAGGTTGACGCATTTGGCAGCAGCAGCCTTGCCAGCTTCTCCAAGTCGGCATTTCTCCCCACGAAATCGCAAATGGCAGGTACACCGCTCAGGTTCATAGTAAGCTTAAAGCGGTTTCCTGAGACATAAGATTGGTCAGTTAATTTATTTGCATGCTCTCCCAGACAATACTAGGTTTTGTAGGTCGCGTACCTATATAGGCATAAGGGGAAAGGACCGAGAGAAAATCTTTTGCATAGGCTGCCGCCGCCGCCGCTGCGTACTCCTGCCAGTGCTTGTTCTTGTGCGTGTCACAGTAATCGCATACGCCCCTGATAACTAGAGAGGGGATTTCGTTAACCATTCCCGCGGCCTCCATCTCAAAGCATAGGAGTTGTTCTTGCTGTTCCAACCTCTGCCGCATCTGGGTGTCCTTTATGACCTGGTTCCCCGTCCCAATTACCCCATAATGAACGACTGGGTCTGTCGAAGACCGTTTTGGCCGCGTGATAACTTGCGTTTGATCACAATCTGCGCAGGTCCTTGCATCCTTCTCGTGGTTGTAGAACGGGTTGAAAAGACGGTCCTGTTCCTGGCCAGGATGATGGAATAATTCATTGCATTCCCCCAATTTCTGGAGGAATTCAGCAACTCTGGACCTCTTATTCTTGTGGTTCGCCTGTAACTTGGAAAGTGCAGATAGTAGCACTGATGGAGGTGGATTCAACATGCCTATGCGTTGAAATTTACCATCGACACTTTTGCCGAAGTCGTATTGCACCACTGCCGGATGAGTACTGGTGGGCTGCCCGACGACGATATCCCCAAGTCGGATGTCAGCATGAGAGGAGTCGGGTACCCCGCCACCAATTCCCACCAAGAGCCCATACTGAATGTTAGGAAAGGAGATCCTCATCCGTGATGTTGCGTGTGCAGCTGTGGCGATTCCATACTGCCCGGACGGGAGACAAGTGATTACTACATTGTGACCCTGAATCTCACCTAACGTGTATGTGTTTCCATCCCCGGGACTACCTCTCAATGGCTCATGTGTTTCATCCAGCACGGCTTCTGCCGCGCTCCTTTCAAGTGGAAGAGCAGTGAGCCAGCCAAGGGTATAGTCATCGTGTGACTTGCGAATCCTAGTCATCTTTACAAGTGAGTGGTTTTCCCTCCACACAAATTGGAGGCCAGCAAGTGGGAAGCAAGAGATGAAGGTGGAACATGGGATAGCACTTGTCCCTGCCTCACGTTTTGGGGGGAAATTTAGGAGGCGCCCAATGCGACGAATTCGATCGCGGTCAGTGGGTGCATAGCGTCAGACTAATGCATTGTGTCGCGGTTCGCAGATGCAAGGCGACGTGTCGCGACCGATCGATAATAAAGCACCAATCAATTAAGCATTTAATATTCAGCTCACTTCCACGGTTGCCTCTTTGCTATCTCAATTTTCTTGCCCTTCGTCAATTTCGGCGCTCTCTACTGCGAATGTAATTGGCTGAAACATCCCCTGCCAGTCCCAGTCATTCTCCGACGCCTCCAGCTTCTCCCCATTCGGGCTCACTTCAATCAAAGCCCGCCGCGGAGAATCTTTAACAATGAAGAAGGCCGTGTAATTTCCCGGCTCCTCCTCTTCACTGATCATAAAGTCTTGATGCGTCGCGAAATTGGTGCCTGATACCTCCTTGTCTTCTCAACCTTAGTACAATCCTCGACTGGTGTCATAATAACAAGCAGAAGAGGAATTCCTTCTTCGCCATGGATGTCGAGCTTACCGGAGTAAACATTGGTCTGCAATTCCACCGTCATTTGGTGCAGACCCTTGTCCGTGTGCCAGTAAAACACAACGACTATCTCATCTGATACCCTCAGCACACCAAAAGGACTTCCCTCTTGCCTCCCGCATGCTATAGGCTCCAGGAGGGTCCATTTTCCTTCAGAGAGACTGATGCCTTGCAGGTTGCCAGTTATATTCTCGAAGAAGATGACTGCACCATTCCTAGTGCTACAGCCACCAAGCTCACGAGAATCTCCGATGGGCAATTTCACTGACTCCAACTCTGGCCCTTGATCTTCCCCTGTCTCTGAAATACCCCAACTATGCCAAATCCTTTTACTGTGAAGGATGCCCTCTGGATCGACATGGAACAACAGTTTCTGTGAACAGTCAAAGCATGATCGAGTAGAAAACGTTCGCAGAGTCTCGGGAGGCAAACGAGTTCTCTTTCGCAGTTACGCACCAATCTGCCCTCTCGCCCCTCTTCTTCCACGAGGAGAAGGGTATTCACTTCCTTCAATGTGGATTCAACTTTTTCACTGTGACTCTCTGGCTCTCTAGGCCTGTCGAGATGAATGCAGTGATTTGTATGGTACTGCTGTTCTGTACATGAGCCCTGTGTCAGTAACTTATAAGTAGCTGCGTGTGTTGGTGCCATCGCGATTGTGGTTGTAGAAGCTCTTTTGAATTCGGAGAAGAACGATAGTGGATAAGTAGAGAAAGAAGATTTAAATCCAGAAAATGACAAATAAAGTCGAAGCCTGTGACAACAAAAGATAGAGCGATACCCTGGTTATAAACTGAACCGTCAGAGACGCAAGATACCAAGCATACCCCTAATGCCGAAGCACCCTTCATCCACCTCCATAACAGCACGACACATGAATTGCTAGAGTTGATTCGTCGCATACCATCTTCCCCTAAAGGGTAATATTTGCATGCTGCATACATGAGGCGGCCACTACTGCAGACTATCCTCGTGTTTGCCGGCGATTCGCCGATAAGCCGCTCTGCTCAATTCCATGATTTGCATTGGGACACTGTCAGCGGAACGAGCTGAGGCAATCCGTCCATCCAAAGCAGCAATAGATAATATGGTTGCCGATGTGCGTCGATGGGCTGAGCTGAGCTGAGCTGATCGGCGGTTTGTAACAATCATCATGCATGCGCATTTGCGTTTAAGGAAATATATCCGTGCCCCATTCAGCTGAGCATGGACTACTATGGTCTAGGCCTTCGATAGTGGCCAGATACAGTAGTGGATTTGTCGAGAAAGATATTTGCAAAGTTGCAGTCAATCAACCCAGACTCTGTAGTGCGTATGCATAATCGGAAGTGAATAAATTAGTGAAAAATAAAATAGCATCTCAACTGCTAAACTGGTTCAGGTTTCCTTGTCTCTATCCCAGCCTCCACGGTATGTAGACGCTTTAGCTCCATGATTGACATCTCCCTTCTTTACTCCGTTTGTACCGTTTTAGGTCTCCCACCACTATTCATCCTTAACCAGCTTCTAACCACGATTTGGTTTGATGTTGCATCTATCTCTCGCCTTCTCAATACATTAGACGATGATGATAATGTGGAAAAGTTCTATTCGATTTAGTAGTAGCCAGTGGCACAAACAAACAAGCGGGAGGTGTGCTTGCCAATGGCAGTATGGAATTTAACACGAAACGGATGCCAGAGCCATTGTCTTGTTATTGTTTTAAGCATTCTTGTCTAAATACCAATCATTGCTATATTGGCTCAACTCGGTTGCTGGTCTTGTCAAATGCGTCCAGCCAGCTGGATTGGACCCTTCGTGGCAACAGTCCGAAGATACTCCATCATTTATGGCACACAATTATCATACTCAACTGAGTATTATCTTTTCTCATACTTTCTCTTCACGCTGCAAGATTTCTATCCCAGCCTATGGTGAGGTAAGAATCTTAATTCTGAGCGCCAATATCTTTGTGGCACTGTTATCGAGATATCATTTAACCCAAATAAGACTTTAATTACCGATTTCTTTTTTGTCATAAGCAATAAGCCACTGAAAAGCAATCGAAAGTGTAGTTGAATCTCTTTGAGAACGCTTCAAACAATGAAAAAACGGTGGTCTTTATCGTTCTTAATCATCGTATTGAGTATTACTCGTTAAGGCCTCCTCACTGTGCTGACTGGAAGGCATTAGCACTTACTCCTGACACCAGTCCCTATCCCTAGCCGGGGAGTAGTACTATTACATGGTGCATTAGCACACCAACTAATCAAGAATCCTGGGCGGGGCCCTTTCAATTGTCTCCAGTGGTGCTTGAGATCGTTTCAACAGCAGCATAGTACCGGAGTTTTGCTTCAAGAGGACAGAAAGAAACAAGCGTACCGAATAGATGTAGTGGGTTTGGGCTTCTATGTAGGACAATTAATCGACTGCATCTCAAGCGAGGGAAATGTCCAATTGTGATTTCGGAGCGAGCGATGCAGAATGCCATGTTCAGCAACTGTAAAAGAGGCACTGCTGATTGCAATTATGGCGTCCTGCTAGGCAACCTCGAAATCCCTGGACAGCTCATCTAGAAGAGGTATGGGCTTTCGGACATTTGTGGGTGGCTCCATGTTGAAGTAGGAAGTACTGAAGAGGTGTCTGAATGACAATTGAAGAAGCGTGCCTTCTTCAGCCCTGGTGTTAGTATTCGGGCCATTAAAGTCAGCCATTCATCTGTATAGCGGGCCGATTAAATCCCCATTATTGTTTATACAATAGTCAGAAACATGAAGCTTTCTTTTCCAAGTATACTAAGATTATAGGCTTTACCTTCGACGCCGCAGGAGAATCTGGCAGCATAAAGCAGCAATTCTTAGCCAATGACGGATATAGTCCTTGTTTGTCATTTTCTCCACGGCCATTGGGAGAAGAATTTCTACATTCATATCACCAGTTCGGGCGGATACTTCCGCCATCACAAGTATATTTAGCTCTCCGACGCGTCTGTTGGTCAAGGAGTGATTCGGCCCAGGATCCTGACAAAAACACATCAGAAACTCCATGTCATGCCTGCACGGATAGCTCGCTAGGTTTATCGAGCGATTGGTACGGGAATATGGCATGATCTGATCTCCGAAGCAATGTTAATCGGTGGTTAGTTGACGTAGAATCTATCTCAAATTTGCATTATCAATAACGTTCTTCATGAGTTGGTTTCGGACCAGAGTGCCGTTGAAAGAAGTAAAACTAAATATATGAGTTAGTCCTAGCCAGATGCAAAATGGATAAATCTTACAATTTATCGCCATCTCTGCTTCTATGGGGCCACCAAACGAAACTATGCGTAGTAGAAGAGCTGATCAATCGGCCAATATCTCATGTGTCTCATAATCGCAATTCGTACTTGTACGTAAACAGGGGAATCTGCTTATAGACCCCGTCTTAGAAGTCCTTCACTTGTGCACTCGTATGTTTCGGAGTTCATAGAAGCATTGCATGGAGGCAACCCTGTTGCTCGGAGAAAGGTTGCAAGTTCAAGGTGTCGTAATGTCTGATGTTTTCAGGTCATTCTAAAAGACCATCTCATACGTTTTTATCTGCAGATGCCTTTTCCAGAGTTTTTCTTCTTCCTGCGAAGCCATAAAACGGTAAGTCCCACATTATTTTAGGGTAGTCTTTTCAAAGGTTATGATCCTGACTGATGCCGGCTGTCTGGAAAATCTTTATTTTATCTTCCGCATCTTGGAGGTTGAGCATGTTGAATCGGTAATAGGGAAGGTTTGTATGAGCTAAGCAGGCTGTCGTAGTTCAAGGTATGTACTTTGGTATAATATCAGCTTCTTCAGCGAAGTTCGTGCCATCAGAAGCTCTAGGTTTGAATATGGCAGTTCCTAGCTCCGTCTAAGTAAACCGGTTTGAGAGCTTTTTGTAAGAAATATTAAACACAGATATTTTGCTTGTCAACCGTGTACCTGAGCTTCTCAATTTTCAGTAGAAGGTCAGTGGCCCAACCGGTCACAGTAATGGGGCTCTAAAAGCATACAATCTGAGGTCAAGCATAATCAGTATATCGGCGATGCATTTTCTCTCTAAGAGTGGTGAGGACTTTGTATATCATGCGACTCATGTTCGCGCTTGGTGTTTCAACAGCAGACGCAACCAGTAGGAATGCATACTTGACAATGTTGAGAACAACAACTTAGTAATAGTGCGTCGTAGGACTCAATATATGCATATAGAACAGTTCACATAAGCAAGGAGATTTATTATTTGCCAGTTGATGCAGTCGTTGGTTCTTGATGTGTACTGCAGAATGAAAGAAATAATTGAGATCGGGGGAGCAAGAGAAGCAGACCAGCCGAAGGATTACTTAGACTGCATGAATACAATGTCAAGTCACTACATGAATTGAATATGTAGATGGTGATATTGGTCGATTATGCACTGGTGGGAAGAAGAGTTCACTACGATCGGGAATCAAGTGGGGATGACTACATTCTACCAATTCATCATCAAGATGAGTGAGGAATTGTGGTTGTATTGAATGGCGTGGTCATTCTATGGGATGGTTCTGGCCAGCCGTTCTAGTATTCTCAACAAGTGCAGATCACAATAGATGCGGGAGCAAACAAAACGAAGGAGCGCTGAATACCTAATTCCATACTAATATATTCAGTGGATATTTCAACTAGAATATAACCTCTGCAACTGCACACTCTCCCTCTTATTCATCTCCTCCGCTTTGCCCGAACCCAGAACCTTAGACGGATGAAGCACGCTAATCACAACCATCGCAAAAAACATCAACACCGCATCGAAGACATAGCTGAAAGCCTCATGACTCATAAGATACCCATAATTCCCACCAGCATACTCAATCATGCGAAAGACCGACCGAATCAAGATCAGCATGCTGGCGATATATAAACCTACTATGGTCGTCTCCCAATTTGGGTTGCGCCAACCACTACGCGCAATGCACGTAGACAACGACTTTTCTGTAGGGTTCTGATGGATACGAAAGTGGAAAAGTGTCGCAACTATCACAAAGACACTGAAGAAGATGAGCTGGACAGCTAGTCCGCCCATAACAACGTTCTCACCGGTGGTCATTCCGCTGAGAGTGCCGCTGGCCATGATGCCGCCGCCTAGCATTATATTAGTATAATTAAGGCATATTCATCAAGCGTATATCATACCAGCTCCCTGCAGAAGAAAAGATAGTACATCTCCGGTAACGAAGATTGTTGTAAGCCACCTGATTGGGACAAGGCTCTGCCTTTCTGCGTCGAGGAAAGTAATAAGCCGCCCAAGGGTCATGTAGATTGTCGCAGCGTAGAGAGGTGGCGCGAGTAGAATCAGGATATCTTGTATAGCGTATATGGTTACGCTTTGGGTGTTGCTATGCGCTAACGCACGTGCAATGTACCCGATTATCTGGACTATAAACTAAGTCAGCTTAAGCCGGAAATTCAGCAGGTGGCTTCACGAACATATTCCGCCCAGCACAAAGCAGGTAAAATACCAGGCTCGCGCCTGGGCCATTTGATAGGCATGGTATGCTGTTATGAATATGAACAATATTATGAAGAGGATTGCTGCCCCCAAGGACGGGGTGTAGCGATAAAGCTCGTATGAAGAAGACATTGGGCATGGAGAACCCTTTCTATAGACAAAACAGGTGCTCTCAAAGCAGTTTCCAAGAGCCTTGCTGAAAGGGCTGCTATGCGATGGACTAATGACTGCTTGTCCAGCTCTTTCGTTGATTGACAGCCTTTCTGCTCAACCTGGCATACTTTCAAGAATATATGATTAATTTATGTCATCAAACTCGATAGACTCCATTTTTAGACCCAGCACTATTCTCATCTGCCTATGATAGTATACGCGTCTTTAAATGACACGGAGCTCTCAAATAATTGTCTCGTTTTTGCTATCGCTTTGCTGCATGAAGGCCATTGGTTGGCGAGTGTTCTCCCCAGCAAGTTTATTTCAGTTTGGTGGGGGCAAGACGTATTCCAGGCTAGCCTGCAGAAATTTCCCAAGCCGTCTGAGCTTACAGTGTAAACCTTCATAAGCAGGAGAATAGGAACAAGTAATAAAGTAACCACCCACTCTGCGTTGTAGCTATCTTTGGGGTGGGCGGAGACTGAAAGGAATCGGGGATCCACCGCCTCTCCACCCGATCGAAATCTTCATTGCCGAGACGCGTGCCTCGTTTTCGTTCTCGCTTCCGTTCTCGTCTGTCGTATGTCTCCCATTCCTCGCAGTAACTTCCGATGCCTATACCACCACTCATCTCGGGATCGTGTGGAAGTCTGTCTAGTCTAGACTTCATCCGACATGCCTCCGCGACGAACCCATACAAAGTCCCGGAATGGATGCGACCAATGCAAATCTCGGCGAGTCAAAGTGTGTTGCCCGCTCTCCAGCCTGGGATTTCCGCTGATCCCCACAGTGCGATGAAGCCCAGCCATGTGCCAACTGCGTGAAACGACACCTGACGTGCACTTTTGAACGTCGCCCAGCCAAACCCGAGCCGTATCCCAGTACGCAGTCCGCCAAATTGTCCGAGTCGCCGACCGTTTCGTCGAGAACAGACGATGCCATTGCCGCCTTTCAGCATCAGGTCGCGGATGCGTCTGCTTTCCTCCGCGAGTGGGGCGCGCAGGACCCCGAACTGATGCACCATTACTGTATCTACGCCGCAAAGACTCTGTCAGATCGGGAGGCGATCCGCGATGTTTGGCAGATTGAAGTGCCGAAAATTGCCTATTCGTACGAATTCCTTATGCATGGCATCTTGTCGCTGTCGGCCCTGCACTTGGCCTACACTAGACCCGAAAGATACAGCCACTATCTCAACAGCTCCAACTTCCACATGGCACTGGGCCTGCAAACATTCCGGATAATATTACAGAACCCTAACAAACAGAATTGTGAGGCACTCTTCTGCTTCTCAAGTCTAATCATGGTTTGGACCTGTGGAGCACCGACCGATCTGGGTGATAGCCGTCCCTTGGAAAGTATCATCCGCCTTTTCAACTTGTGCAGGGGGATCATGACCCTTCATCCTTTTATGTCGCACGTTGAAAACGGTCCTCTGGCGCCATTGTTTCTAAAAGACTTTCGATCCGACCCTGGCCCGTCCCAGTAAGCTCCCCCGCAGACTGTAATCTCGCGCAAGCTAACTCGACAAAAGGGACCAAATCCAGTCTCTGCACTTTCCAGGACTGGACAATCAAATAGATGCAATCAGAAAGTTGATCGCATCAGAACCTCTCAGTGAGCAGGAGAGACTCATTTATCAGCAGGCCACGGAGTGTTTGGAAAAAGCCTTCTGGCGTTTGCAGGTGTGTGAAAAGCCTGCCCAATGTGGGATAATCTTTATGTGGCCGATCAGCGTGCGGGATGAATTCGTAGGCTTTCTCCTGGATAAGAGCCCGATTGGACTTATCTTGTTGGCGCAATATTGTGCCCAGTTATACCTGTTTCGTGGGTACTGGTTCGTAGAGGACCGCGCCCAGGAGTTGCTTTCTGCAGTAGCTGCTGCCCTACCGTCGCGGCTTGCACACTGGCTGGATTGGCCAAGGCAGTTTTGCTCCAGTGGCAGCCTTCCTGCGTGATGCTGCACTGCATGATCTCACAGCCCTCCACTTACTCTCTCGCCCAAACGGCCATCAATGGCCATCGCCTGGTCCGACTAGGGGCTAGCCCAAAGCGGTTAGAACAGCCCCTGACCCTCAGGCACAAGCGCAGGCCACCAGGCAGCCACATCCATCGCTCCTCCTTTTCATTTTTCCGGATCCACGCCTGCCCGTGCCCATCGCAATGAGGGTCCGTTTTATTCCAGTCGCCCTAGTGGCTGTCGGCATAGTGATTTTGAGCTGGGGTATGTACTCTTTTTCGCGTCTTCCTACCAGTATGCTAATGTTGCGCCAGCCGCGCTATCTAAAGCCTGGACAGGCTCCGGTGAAAATGTGGCATTCTGTGCGGATTGCTTAGGCTACGTTAGAGATGTCGATACGATGTTCCAGAAGAATGCTGGAGCTTGGGCCAACTCGCAGTTTCTCCGATATGCGCTCGATAAATCCTGTCGAGGTCGGGTGCTGATCAACGGTCGATGTCTGCAGTATCGACGCAGGCTTCTTGAGAAACCAGCGATTTTTAGATCACAACTTGATAGTCCATATGAGGCCTGTATGGCCATCCAAGCCTGTAAATAGATCACATTATCCTGATTTCTGTCCTATGCCCGATCATCCGTATCGAGGTCTGCTGTAAAGTGTCCTTGGCATCCCAAGTTTCATGTTGTTGAAGGCTGGAGATAGATCTATCCTTGGTAACACGCCAGGCACCCCTTGAGTTTAGGAGCAATAGAGAAAATATGATCAGATGACTGGAATTGATTTTCTCCATCAATTCTGTAACTTTTGCCCTCGTGGTGTTTCGTAGTGACGTATCCGCAATGAATACGGGCTTCTTCGTGAATCTAGCGGTACATCCCGTCTTTAGTCACGCATTTCGAGTGACGAATATCAAGCCTGCTTCACGGATATCTCAGTCACGTAGACATTTCAGTCACGCCTCTGACAAATTCGCATCTACTGATTCACGAAGCTATATCCAGTGACGGGCTCTCCATTGAAGAGGCCTTCCTGCTGGGTATAAATATTTTCCCATTCTACCTCTCTTCCTTTCTTTCTCTCTTCCTCTCCTATCTCTCTCATGCAACTCATCTCTCTTATTTTTCTTTCTATATATCTTTGAGTTCTCCCTCACGCAGTGAGAAGGACAAGAAAAAAGCAATGTTCCAGCCCGATGGAGTATAGAGGGCATAATGACACCTCCCAAAGTATCTCATTTTTCTTAACGGTTGCGTCTATATCTCATGGCTAGTGGTGCAAGGCAGTTTACCTCTTCATCACTGTATATACACCCCCTCGGATCATGTCCTTATCTCCTCACAAGAGATTCACACTTTTTACTGTATCTGGGAGCTTTACTTTTGCACACTGCGCGCTGTTGCGGCACCACTTTGCACAGGACCCGCTTAAATATGTGTTGCTGGTTTACTGCTATTCCCGTTTTGTCCTGCGTGTTGTTGATATTTTCACACGCTATCTCATTTTATATTTCTATCACTTCTTCCTCTTTGCTTCTCGGACTCTTGTGCTCTTTGATGGGGCTGCTTTTTGGTACCAGACCCATACATATCTGGGCAGTAGGATATGCTGCTACCGCAGAAACAATCCACTGCGTCTTTCTTCGTGCCTTGTCTTGAATTTCACCTTTCAGTTGCTCACGTGCAAGTCAATGCTGAAGGGCATCTGCCATGCTGATGAGAGGACGTCTACACTCCCATCAAGCAGAGGATTGTTACGTGGTCTTCCCGCTTGCTATACGGAGGAGATGTCATGAAACAAGCGTGGCGTGACTTGAATCATCATGTCCCAGTATCATGGTCAACCGAGCAGTTGGATCGGTACGCATCTACTCGTGGAAGTTTCATGAACGATCAATTTCTGATGTCACCATACCCTCCGGTCAGCACAAGTCAAGGCAGAAGAAGCGGCTTCGCGTACTTGGAGATTTGCTATACACTGCCCAGGATGTTGGGCAAGACTCGCACTTCCCCCTCTCAAAAAGGCTTCGATCGATGAACTCGGACATCTAGGCTTTCCAAGCTACGATAACATTTCGTCATTGGCGTCACTGAAAACCGCTTCGGTATTCAGCTTGACAGCGACGACAAGACTATAATCTCGCTTTTTGCTGCCAATTTTGATTTTTGAATCCGCTATCGAACGCCATGCCATTATACGCACTGGTTATCACGGAGTCATGGGCTATACATTGTGGATTACTTGAGCCGGCACGGCAGGACTGAAGACTTTGGTATTGTCATCTTGACTGCATCAGTAGAGCAACGTCAACAGCATTGCACCACTGTGTTGGGCCGGTCGGCTTTTCTGGTACAAACTTTCGTTCTGGGGTTCGGAATGACCGAGCCAACCACCTCATCTGCCTTGCCTCCTGTGATTGATCTATGTTTCGATCCAAGAATATACATGGCAGCTTCCAAGCATCGGCCAAGCATCACGCGTCTTTCAGAAAGAATCAGGCAAGCCTTGCGAGTCGTGCAGTGCGAAGATCATTTTGGTCCGTCATAGTCATTTGGCTTTTCTCTCAAGAACCTCCGAGGACAAGAGCTAGTCAGACTGAGGACTACGAATCGGCTTGGCGCTGCTACTACATGGTATCGCTTACAATATTTGCCGCGCGGCCAGATACTTCCCACCTTTCTGTGACTGAGTTATCAGCTTTGACGACTGGTTCGAGCAAGTGAACCAGCTCATGTGCTCCCTGACCTGTTCCGGCCACCAATATGTCTGATACATTAAACATCTCATCCTCGGCTCTCTCACTTCAATTTTGGCCACAGCCTACACCTACACGACAGGCTATTCCTATCCGGCGATCGAAACAGCCATACCGCACCGACCTTGGTAGTCATCCCCGTGCGGATAAGACCAAGAACAAAGTTCAGTTGACGATCTGATCCATGGCCCCGTCGATATCTCGTTATAAACGGTCAAAGAAATCCGAACAAACCAGATACGTGCCTGAAGGCTCAATGGTCTTGGACGGTGAGCAGACCATCGTCAAACTATAGCAGATATGTTATAGAGCGAGAGAGAAGTCGGAGGAAGCACTCAAGAAGGTTCCGGCTTCAACTATTCAACCGACAACTACGGCCATGTAACTCGGTTATATCCTTTTCAACAGTGCTTCATCGCCCTTTCAGCGGCTCGACTTGACTTCATAAACTCTTCGGTTGTGACTTCGATTTTGCTTGGTTCAGACAGAGGAGGCACTTCTCATCCTATGCGTCGTTAACTTGCTCTACAGCAGATCGAGAGAGCAAGGGCGAATGCGTCGCGCTACATGGTCTCCCCAAAGAGCTAGATGGAACAACAGACAGAGCGCTGACCAGTTCCGATTGACCCGCGATTGAATTTCAAGAGCATAATGGGGAGAATTACCTATTTATTGGTTTCGGTCGTGCATGCCGTGCACAAGAGAAACCGATTGCCTTTGCAGAAAGATGAAAGGTCAGACTCACAGTGGCAATTCAGAGTTCTATTCACGCAAATAATTGGGCATCGGTGCTAAAGACGTGGACACAAAAGCACCTACTATATATACAATGTAGTAGCAACGATGCCTCTGTGGTACCAAGTCTTGGTACCATAGATTGGACGCATTGGAGTTTGCTCCTTATGCCAACGGATATGTACCAGTCTGCAAAAATCGATAGAATACCTTCCTCGGAGATGGTCCCAAGGATCCCCAGACTCCGCCCGAACGCCACGAACCCATACGAGCATGCCACCGATAGGCTTGAACACATAAAAGACCTTCCGATACGAAGGATATGATATGAACTAGAAGTCTCTTCACCCATAATCTAGTCGGTATGTACAACGACAACGTGGGAAATATGCTCTTGGCTGATCGAAAGCTACCAGGAACTGATTAGGAAACAGCCATCTTCACATCCATGATATATATGAAGATCGAACCTAAGTCGTTCTTGGCACAGTCCGGCATTAGACCGTACGGCCCTCCTACAGACAATCTGCTTCCCGCCCAATAGTCAAGAAAAGCCATCCGTGACTACTTTATCCAGCACTGTGGATGCCCGCCAGCTCATCCATTAGTTGCGTTATAATGGGTTCTAGTTCCGAATCGCGTTGCGAAATCCGGGTTTATCTCTTTCGGCGCAGAGGCCGGCTTGAAGCCGTCAAGCGCCAAACACTCGGAAGCGGATTACGACCTTGATGCGATGAATCTGGCACTCGGCACACTGTGGTTCACTGGCTGATACGTTTTCGGGTACAGTATTTACTTTCCTGACCAACTATTGTGATATTCTTTAAAGGTCAGACGCCGCATAAGGGGGGAGCTACATGCAGCCTTCAGACAAAGAAATAGTCTTCAATGAGGCATCAGATCCAAGCGCCTCGGCATATGGTACATTTAAAGAAGACTATCTACGCTTTCTTGGTAGCCACTATCCACAGCAGGCCAAGAACTGAGTCGTCCACACTAATTACTTCTCTGCACCAATGAGAGACATTACACCTACTGTATCACGCGCGATGATTATCGACGCATATATATAATGGTCACAGTACTGAGGGAAGAGTACCACGCGGCAGTAGTGACGACAAGAACACCATATGCAAAGACCACGGACGTCATAACTTCGAAAAGGAGATATTCGGAGCTGCCTACTTCTACTTTGACAAGTGGACCGGATACCTGCTTTTTGTCTCATGTCTTACGCCGTGAGGTATGAACAGTCTATTCGGCAGCCAGGCCCGAAGTGAACATTGCCTTTGCCCTAATGTACTCGAGGCAATAAATTGCATATGGGTATAGAGCATTACCGTTCCCGCCTTATCATAGGGCGAGAGTCAAAGACAGCTATATCCAAATCGATAGCCAGTGTGACCGCATTCAAGTATGATGAAAAAATTTCCAGGGGCGTTCGATATCTCACCACGGCTTTCCTAAGTGTCATCGGTCATGTGCAAATCCTTTTTTTATACCACCACTACCGATCCATAAGAGATCAGTTTGGGATCACGGTCACTAATCATCCAGTGATCAGCCCTACAATGTTGCAATCTTGCGATCTAAGCCTTTCGCAAGAGAAGACAAGCACATACGACCATAGGGTGTGGAGAACAGGGCTTCCCGTCCGCTCAGCCGTACTTAAGCCACATGCCGGGAGATTAGTAGTTGGGTGGGTGATTACCAGCGAATCCCTTCTGTTATATATTAGTATTTATCCAGTTTTTTTATTTATTGGATTTAGTATTCTCACTGCTTTCTCTTCATCCTGTTCATCCTTCTTCACTTGAAGCTCGGCCGAACTATCTGAATCTCAATACTCTATATTTAGCAACCCTGCTTAATCCCTGTTCTACTGACATGTTCTGTTAAGTATTTGCAGAAAGAAAGTTTAATATATTTTTATCAAGTTTAATATATTTATACTTAGCAAAGTTATTATTAATATTAGCTTTCTTCTTTCAATCTTTATCTGTAGTGGTGTTACGGACCCCTGTGTCAAACCCTAGGATCGCTTCCCTGTCCCAGTTAGCTTAGCCCCATTGGTATACGTACCGTTGAACTATATTAAGAAGATATCAGTTGATGACTATTTAAAAGATAACTCAGTTATAGATAAGAGAAGAGAAGTAAGACTGAATAGTACTATACAGCTATTTATAAATAAATATAGATAAGTATTCTATAACTAAGCTTTTAAATATATAGTTATTTAAAGATAATTATATT